TAATTGTAATTACAGACAAGTTTGTTAAAATACATGTACCAGTAATCATTACTTAGTACAATGTGTAGAATGATAAATAATCAATGTTCAGCCTGTGTATCTGATTTACTACATCCAAATAGATCATGTTATTATTTAAGAAACATTTCTAAGATCTCAGTATCATTTGGAAAAACATCATCTTTCAAAAGAACATTTTACATTGATTGGAATAAACTCTGTATTGATATTAAACTTGCTTAAAGAGGTCATACATAACCAGCTTTAAAGCTAATCGAAAACATCAGTCAGGGTTGATGGTCTGACAACATTTATGTCAATAGGAGCTCACTGAAATTATACGGACATTAGTGTTATAATATTATTAATATATACATAATCATATCATACACACTACTGGAACTGTGTTTACTAAACATGCTTTATGGTGTTGTTAGTTTGTGCCTTGAATAGAAGGCACGATTCAGTTTGGTTTGACAGCTTTTTAATTACAACACTTTCACAAGCAGTATATAAATAAAGATTCATATATTGAATTGTGGATGAGAGCACATGGTTCAGTGGAATGGCATGGAATCGCAACATAATAAAAAGTAGGACTAGGAATGGACATATAACAGAAAAGGAACATTATAACGAAATAGGATATAACATTATCCCTGAAACTCTAGGATTAATCCTGACACTTTAGGACAGTTTTGCCTGTGTGTTAAACTGTTTGTGACACAATGTTACACCATGTACACACTGATAAGCTTTAGTCTGTTCGCTGTGTTATTGTTTTGGATTGTCAACAATCATCAAAAGACAATCCGACTTGTTGCAAAGAAATGTTGTAGTTCTTATGTTTTATCACTCATGTCTCCATAGTAAGATGTTTCAGTTTATGGCAGCATGTTCAATGTAATTCAGTGGTAGCTTCAAACTTCCAGTCAGGGCACTAGGGCTGGGACAGGTCCACATTTTCTACCCAGGTACCCCACCCCTATTACCCTACCCTACCTTGATACCTGTTATGTTAATTCCTGACATCAAATATGTAAGAAATGGCAATATATTCTTCAGCTCAGAGGCTAATATTTCAAGTTTTTCAATATCTTAACCATGTATTATATTCAAAACAGATGACTGTAAATTATGTCTAAATCCTCAAAGACAATACAACCCTTTAATTGTGTAAGAATAACATATTACATTGTTTAATCTATTCACATGATCATCCGGGTATTGAGACTGGTACCCGGGTTCAACTCATTACCTACCCGTTCCAGGTATCCAGGTTACCAGTCCCAGCCCGATACGTACGTGATGTAATCTTTAGGTTTCTTGTGTTCTTATCAAAGTTAACATGTCAAAGATGATAACATGGGAACCTTTTGTTTTCAAATAGTTTGTTTCAGTGGCAGAGGGGATGTGTAGGTGATCAGGTGATTATAAAGGTTATTGTTTTAAAGGGTTGTAGTACATGATATTGACACTGCTATCAGGACAGTCAGTGTGATGTTGTAATGTCCACTTTCCTTTTCCATGGTTGCTGTTGTTATCTTGTTTATGAGTGAGTGAGTGAGTTTAGTTTTACGCCGCACTCAGCAATATTCCAGCTATATGGCGGCGGTCTGTAAATAATCGAGTCTGGACCAGACAATCCAGTGATCAACAGCATGAGTATCGATCTGCGCAATTGGGAACCGATGACATGTGTCAACCAAGTCAGCTAGACTGACCACCCGATCCCGTTAGTCGCCTCTTACGACAAGATAGTCGCCTTTTTATGGCAAGCACATGGGTTGCTGAAGACCTATTCTACCCCGGATCTTCACGGGTCTCTTGTTTATGAAACGGTCAGAGTTTCCCACAATCTGGTATATTATCTGCTGATATTATAGTGTGGGTGTTGTCACCTTGTGGTGAAAATTATTTTGTTGTAAGATATCTATATTGTTATGTTTTGAGCCTGTTGAAAGAGGTCTTAAAACTTTGTGTGTATGGAGAATCTTTGATTCTACATCTGGCATTCCCTCTGTGATGGTGTGTGTACAAAAACATCAGTTGACAAGTCACAGCAATGATGGAAACAATGTTTTCAGAACTGTCTCTATATTGGCAGGGTTGAACAATACTACTTGTTCATAAGTCTGGCTACTCTTAAGACGTATGTGAAAACAGGTATCTACCTTGAGTCCTGTATTTGAGGGTCCCTGGGACTCATACTCTTAATTTTTGGGGTCCTGGGCCCAGAGGTCCCAGACACTTAAATATTATTATTAATACTATGTTGTAATATTGTTGTAATTCAGTTACTGTTATTGTATCATCACATCGTTACAGTAATTAAATTGCAAATAATACCATAACCCAACTAGTAACAAACTCGGTGATAACTGATTGCTACTAGTACTTGATTGGAAGTTTTACAAAGTATATGGACTTTTTTTGCATTCCTGTGGATGCACTTGTGAATTTCTTTGCATCTGTTGTCAATTTTTATGAGTATAGGTTACAGGGATTCATGTCCCGTAAATCCCTGTGAAAATCTAAAGAGACGAGTTGTCTTTTCCACCATTCTAGTTATTTTACAGCAGTCTCTTGTCTAAAAATAAGTTATTGACTACAGTAAACTAGAATTATAACAAACTCAAAGGGACTACTTATTTTAATTCATTTTTACCATAGTTTCATGATCTATACATTCTAAGACACACATGTAGCATTTACAAACATGAAGTTCCAAGTCGGAGACCTTCAATCAGTTAATCGTGAGTCGATTGTGATGGGTTGTTTGTGAATTTCTTTCCAGTTTCAATATCCCTGATATTGGCTCATTAATTGTTTAACTGTGACAAATATATTGGACCGCCTCCATGGTGTAGTGGTTAGAGCGTCCATCCAGAGAGTGGAAGGTCGCGGGTTCGATCCCCGACCACGTCATACCAAAAATACTTTAAAATATGGTACCTATTGGTCCCTGCCTGGCGCTCGGCATTAATGGGTACAACAAGGACTGGTCGGCTCGGAGTCAGTATAATGTGTCTGAGTGTGGTATTCATGCTTCACTGCGGCATGGTATCTCAGTGGGCTAGCACTATAAAACCAGCTTACGTCTGGGCTAGTACAACCAGCCACACATACACATACACATACATGCACGTCGTCATATGAGCGAAATATTCTCAAGCACGACGTTAAACCCAATTTCACCTTACCTCTATTTTCTAGGGAACATTGAGCACACAGTTTCTCAAAAATATCCCAACAATATGCATGATCCCTCATGTGTTTTTGGACAGTGTTTTTGCCGTATCACGTTAATGCCACTCCATGCCTCGTAGTCCTACGTTTAACATTTTAATCATGTTAATCATATTGATCATATTCAGTAATATTTCACCTGCCATGCAGCATGATACCGCTTTTGCAGTTTATTACTGTATATGCATGATGCATCATACGTACGACAATCAAAAGTTGCATTGAACATGTTTAATGGTATCAGGATCACACTCAATGTCACAATTTCATCCTGGTGAAACATGTTTCACAATCAATATCAATTCTTTTGTTTACCATGGATACCATAGTTATTGTTTTGTTCTTTTATTTGAGAAACAGCTGACACACTCTATAGAGGAGAGTTTCTGAATTTTATTAAATTTGGGATAATGGCTGTCTTTGTTTTGAGAATAATTCTGTCAAGCACCGTGTTCTGATTGACAATATTAGTGTCTGTGTCAGCGTGGTTCGTATTGGTATTAACTATACAATATCAACACTGATAGGACATATCATGGAACATTTGGGATTTTAATATTATTGTGATATTGTATTGGTGTATTGGTAATAGATGTGCATGTAACTATGGATACAGAGAGACTTTGTCATTGACCATCTCTGATTCATCACATGTCCCAGTTTGGTTCAGATGTCTGCGTTGAAAATGGAAATCAAGTTGATATCATCATCTTGTAGGAATTATGAGATTTGGCTTAAATGTGTATTTAATTAATTTTGAGGACAATTGAAGTAAGGAAGGAAGGGAACAGATTTTGTCCTAGCTTTGGGAAATACTTAGTTAGATTCTGTCTGTGCGCAGCATTTAATGGATTGTAAACAGTGGGACAGGTAAGTGTTCCTTGTTGTAAATCAGCATGATTACTTAGGGGCGCTGGGGTAGCCCAGTGGTGAAAGTGTTCACTTGTCACTCTGAAAACCGATTTCTGGTGTTCCCTGCTGTGATATTATTGCTGGAATATTGCTACTCACTCACTCATAATATCTCCTCCTTAAAAATGACTTATCCTTGAATGACACTGGAAACATTCCAGCAATATGGAACGGTCTGTAAATAATGGATCCTAGACCAGACAATCCAGTTATTAACATCATGAGCATTTGGTATATTAAATATGTGTCAACCAAGTCAGCGAGGTTGAAAACCCGATCCCATTAGTCGCCTGTTACGACAAGGATGATATTCATATTGATACACTACTCAAAAGTTGTTGAATAACAGTTAACACATAATATCTTCACTTTACTACAGTGAGTTGTATATGTTAAGGTTCATATGTGTGGCTAATCAATCATGTGACTTGTACATAGTAATGTGAAGACAGTGATATGTTATCAGCCATATTTTCTTGCAGGCTAGTGGTGTTATCAGAGGGAATTTTTGTGAATATTTCAGGTCAGGTGATGAGGGATGATAACCATGATAACCACTGTCATGTTGTTGTCATGCATTGTGTCATGAGGTCACACTCCCATTGTTGATAAATATGATTTTGTGGACGTTCGTTTGAATATTCAGTGATACCGCATCCTGGATCCTCAGTATTCCATTTCATGGCACTCATGCATTCATACTCACTCACTCACTCACTCACTCACTCTCACTGTCACTTCTCGCTCCCTCTCACCCACTCACTCACTCACTCACTCACACTCACTCACTCACTGTCTCTCTCGCTCTCACTCACTCACTCACTCACTCACACTCTCACTCACTCTGTCTCTCTCGCTCTCTCTCACCCACCCACTCACTCACTGTTGGCAAGATATCCCAAGGGACATTGGGGTAGCTTAGTGGTTAAAGTGTTCACTTTACAAGCCGATGACCTGGGTTTGATTCCGTACATGGGTACAATATGTGAAGCCAATTTCTTGTATCACCAGATACTGCTGGAAATGTACTAAAAGCAGTGTAAGACCTTACTCTCACATTCACACTATATACTCAGAATTAAGTAAGAAATATATATTGCCAAGGTGTGTAGAAGTGTTGGCAGATGTTGCAGACACAATTTGATTTTGGTGACTTTGGCTTTATTTTCATGGTCATAGGAGGTATTTGGCAGATTATACTGTTAGCAAGGTATTCTTTGATTTTCTTCCTTCATCTCTAAGAGGTTTGGAAAACCCAAACATTAGTTTCAATCTCTTGGGAAGCACTTGACATGTTTGACCATTGTTCTGTTTCCGTTTTTCTGGATTTGGTTTACGATTTAGTGAAGAAGTATATTAGGGATGTTTGCAGATAAATATCTTCAGAGATGCTAACCTCTGCAATTTTATCGTAGTCACTACGAATTTTAGCTTTAAACTACGCCAATACGATTGCACAAGAAATTCTACGAAATTTGGAGAAACTTCATGAAATTTCGGATATATAGACAAAAACATATATTTTCATTGATTAAATACATTTTTTGGACTTCACTTACCTTCCATTCATCAAATTTAATGACATATTTGAACTGGAATCATGTAAGTAACTATTTGGATATCTGCTGTAATTGTATAATATTAGACAGGTTTACTTTATGAAATAGATTAAAGCAATTTCTATGCTATATAGACATAACTTTTGTCTTCGTGAAGTGTCCCAGAGATAAGCTTTTATTACTTAAGACTGGTTTCTTTCTCCAAGCTATCACTGATCCATCATGGTGAAACTATTGTTTTATATTTATGCTTTCATAATATCTGAATCCTAATATATAGCTTGTTGTGGTAATAACTGATAAAGAAATTTTGTAAAAATTATTACTCCATGATAGCAGCATTAAACAACAACTACACAATGTGGATTTCAACATGACTATCATCAAAGAATATTTCGTGCGTACTATGGGCTCGTTAAGCTTTCAGGTAACAAATAATGTCTCATGTCTCACGTCACAGTAAGATTTAGGCATTTAGTATATGTTGTCAGAAAACAGTAGTGGTGGTCCGATTAATTGAAATAATCGAAGTTTGGTGGCAGTGCCTAAACGACCAAGCAATCGATTGTGTTTTCTCATAATCGAACAGCAACCAATTTTGGAACACTTGTTTGCATCAACAATATTTTACACAAGGTTGGTTTTGTCTGTGTCATTAAATTTACATTTCATAAGCACTACAAGCTCGTTGCAAGTCATGATTGAATTTATCTTAAAGAATCCAGGAAATCTGTGTTCCTAACATACTAATCATCCTTTAAATATGCGAAATTTGCCAATGGATTTTGTGCAATTTGCAAAAGACCCAAATTACTACATGTTTTTTCTTTATTTTTTGTGTGTGCATTAACAAAGATAACAGGAACATTTGATAAATGCTCAAACCAATTATTTTCGATGATTGATCGGTTGTAATGAACCAATCATCAATTATGAGATTTTAACCAATTCCCAACACTAGAAAACAGTGATAGTGCTTGTCAGAAAAATGCAGCGTAGACATTAGTCTTCAAACTCAATGTAGTCCACAAGTGGTGTAACCAGTGTGCGAAATAGTTTCCAAAATTTGCTTGCCAGTCGGGTTAGCTATGCCGGAAAGTTTCTAGCCCACAAAATAATTCACTAGCCCGAAATGTGAATGTAGACACAGGTTTCATCATTAAGCTGCTAATATGATGAACATATTTATCAGGCCATGATCTTGCATGATTTACAGGTGTATTATAACTTAACAAGTCGGAGAGCATGATATATTTACAAAATGACCCCATGAAAATTCACTAGCCAGTCTGGCCAGTGACTGTGGAGATTTACTGGCCCGACTGGATTTTTACTAGCCATAGGCTAGAAGGCCAGTGGCTATTTCGCACACTTGGTGTAACACTGCAATGGTTAGTTGGTATTCTGGGGTTTTTGTCACAAGTATGTCATACCATTATCTTGCCACGATATGAATAACAGGAAACAAGATAAGAATTTCCTGGTGATTTATGTCTAATTCTGACATATATCATTTATTATGTTCTAAAGGTCCTCGGTGCATCCTACAAACAAAAGTAAAAAAATAAGACATAATTAAATGGACATGCTGAATAAACGACTGGTGTACAATACACTTCAGTCACAGTGATAGATGTGTCTGTCTGTCATTTCAATACATACCATAGTTGAATTTTGTCTCTTCTGGGAGGGTTACCGGTATTATGATAGGGGTCTTGGGTCCAAGTGATGGTTCTGGTGAAACCCCTTATCTAACTGGCGTGCTGGTCTGCTTGGGGGGAATTAGCTCAGCAAAGAGTTTGAAGTCACAAGAAGCTAATTATGACTTTATTAACAAGTACAAAAATAACATGGGGTGGCCACAGAGAGTCGGTACAACCCTCTGGGCTGAGGGTATGAGATGACCTGTGTTGGGAGTCTAAACCCTACTGACGAACAAATGGAGTTGGTGACTATTTATCTAATATTGAAACAATAAAAAGATTATGATTATTTATCTAAAAAATGATACAAAATGGATGATTCCCTATACAAAATGGGTGTTCCAATAACCAATGAAATACAGAATATGCAGTATGGGGTGTGTCCTACAAATGAAATGACCAGACAGGGAGAGTACTTAATCCTGCTAATCCTATTTCATCTGGCACTAATTGTGTTGACACATGTCCTTGAAGCTTCCTAATTTAACTGGCACTAATTGTGCTGACATGTTGCTTGGATGGTTATGGTGTTACAATAGATGGCTTAATGACCCTAATTTGAAGTGTTTGCACAATATATATTAATGGAGGTGATGACATGTTTACTTTATCAAAGCTGTTCATTAAATCGTCTAGACATTACTTTGTCTTACTGAAAGGTTTGAGTCCTTGAAACCTTAGGCTAGGATTTATCTTGAACATCTGTGAAATTGTGCAGCCGTAACATATACCTTTTTCAATAGTATGTCTGTGAGATGAGTTTTACTACTTTTGACTGGAGTCTTTCTCTAAGCTATTACTGATACATGATGAAACTAATATTCTATATTTATATTTTCCTAATATCTGAATCCTAATATATCGCTTGTAGTGGTTATAATTAATAATGAATTTTCGTATGAATTATTATTCCATGATAGGGTAATGAAAAGAATCTTCAAGGTCACTAACAGGGTCCTACAATATAAGTCATGCCTACCTTCACAAGTGAAAGATGAGGTCACATCACACGGCTCCTCTCCTCATAAGAGGTTAACATTATGTAACTGTGGAATCTATTTTCAGCTGGGCACTGGCTGTATGTAGACAGTACTGTAGATTCCATTATCAGTAGAGTTGTGTGTGTACTAATCTGATTAGCCTTGACCTGTGTCCTTGACCTTGTGGACTGACTGGTCACTTACAGGTCACTGGTCACTTCAGGGGAAATTGAGGGATCATTTGTTGTGACGGTGCATTACATTTTTCCATTGTCTGTGTGAGTAATCTGAGACTTGTTGCTGATGCTTGTAAGTATAGAGATTGATGGACAAGACATGTACATTGTTCAGTATTCCATTTGCCATGAGCATGTTGAGGATATAAGAGATTTCTTGTGAGGATATACCAGGGACCAAAGTTGGGTAAGACTAGACAACTGCTTACATGTACAATCTATGGTATGGTATATGAATTCATGGTAGCATTTTGCAAGTGTTAACTCTTTTTTTAAAAAAGAGGACCGCCTCCGTGGTGTAGTGGTTAGAGCGTCCGCCCGGAGAACGGAAGGTCGCGGGTTCGACCCCCGGCTGTGTCATACCAAAAGATGTTAAAATATGGTACTTGTTGGTCCCTGCCTGGCTCTCGGCATTAATGGGTATAACAAGGACTGGTCGGCTCGGAGTCAGTATAATGTGTCTGAGTGGGGTATTCATGCTTCACTGCGGCATGGTATCTCAGTGGGCTAGCACTATAAAACCAGCTTCAGTCTGGGCTAGTACAAGCAGCCGCACATACACATACACACGCATGTACCTTGTCATATGAGCGAAATATTCTCAAGCACGACGTAAAACCCAATTTCACCTCACCTCAAAAAAGAGATTTTGCAGCAGTCTTTGTCACAAATGTTAAGCTAAGTGTCAAGTATGCATATTTTTGCAGCTGTTTAGTTTGGGCCATTCAATGTAAATGTGAAAGGCTTATGTTTCACCAAAATACATTGAATTGCACCGGATAAGTCATCACAATGGACATGACAAAATTTTATGGATGATCATCAACCATAGAGTTTTGTCATCTCCATGCCACCAACTTCTAGAATGCCACTCAAAGGCATCACAATACTTTCACATATATTTACTTTTTCCTTTTTCTATTTACTAATTGTAAACAGCCAGTACCCCAGATATTTAGACAGTCAACTCTCATTAATCCGACACTTGTGGTTGCAGAGAAATATGTCGGATTAACGAAAATGTCAGATTAATGAAAATGTCGGATTAATGTATTTGTGTGAAAATATCAATGTTTACTATATGTCATGATCGTCATACTGTTGCATGCATATCAGAAATGGTAGATCTAGTTATCTTCATCGTATGTAAAAATATTCACAGAAATAAAAAATACTAACAATACATACTTGTTTTCATTTATTAACATTCATAGATGGCATAACATACATATATAATCACATAAGCGAAATGGTTCGCTAATTTTTTGTCGGATTAACGTGATTGTCGGATTAATGAGTGTCGGATTAACGCGAGCTGACTGTAACTTCCTCTCATTGGATGGTTGGCCTCTCAGCACTAAGGATGTATTCTATCCCTAAGGGATCAGTCATTGTTATAGGGGTTAGTGGGTCAGAGAGTATCAAGGGAGGGTCCGCAATTAGGGAAGGCTCATAAAATTAATACAAATGTTTGGGGAATGTCATTAAAAATGGACAGTTTATAATCAATTATAAAACATTTTTTAAATTTTTCTCCTTATAGCCGAGGGTCATGAAAAAAATGTACAAGGTCATTGAGTTACATGGTAGGGGCGGTGGGGATAGCCTAGTGGTTCAGCGTTCGCTCGTCATGCCGAGAACCCGTGTTTGATTCCCCACATGGGTACAATGTGTGAAACCAATTTCTGGTGTCCCCTGCCATGATATTGCTGAAGGCGGCGTAAAACTAAACTCACTCACTCACTCAGTTACATGGTCATACAAAATATGACAAGCCTTTTGCAGGGACAGCTATTATTTTTTGTATCCAAAACACATATTTGGTGATGGTCATACATAGAGAGGACTGTTTATTGGAAAACATGAAGGGCTTTGCCACTTTTAATGTCTTTTTAGAGAAGGTCATAAGGAATAAGTTCAAGGATAGAGGGGACATCATCCGAAATATGAATTGCCTTAGGATAGGGTAATTATTTTGGTGAGATTAGTGTATCAAAATCGAAAGCCTTTGAACCCAACCGTGTAATAAATGAACAGTCGGTTTATATAAATCATGTTGATTTCAGTCTTCTACTTCAGCTGTTATAACACTATGTAATAGACAATGCTAAGAGCCAAGTTTGGGCCGTAACTCTTAAATGTTACATGGACAGACTGTGCTGTAGATGCTGTAGACAGATGAAGGCCTCCTAGTCTGTCTCACAGTCCCTGAAAGTTGGAAGTATTTCACTGCTACTTTTGATCTTCATAGCCGTAATCCTTAAGCCAATTGCTTATATACACACAGATTATAAGTTGACTCCATTTAAAGACAATGATATACTTATCTTTTTACTCATACATTGTGAAACTGACCTTCCTTAATTCCACTAAGTCAAGTCCATTCTCTCAATAGGGGTGCATTTTCTATTCCCTATTCGCCTACATGTTTACTGTAGGCGAAATGAGATGTAGGCCAAATGGGATGTAGGCCAAATGGGACTCAACCTCTGAAACACATTACTTTCCCTACTGCCTAGCTCTCCCTGCAATGCTAAAGCCCTAAATGAAGCAAGTCTAGATTTCCCTGAATCTCCCAACTCACTGGGGTTCCTTGAATTTAAATGGGTCTACTTGCTACTATAAAACTAATGCATGTTCAGGGACTAAGCGTTAGTTTTAAGGTAACCAAGATCTCTTACATGCTGACTAAGGAGGGGTATTGTATTCAGAATAGTAGTACTGGATCCCTGATGGTTTGTCCATTATAGATGACCACCAGCTGTTTCCCACTTGTCTGGGGAGTGTAAGGTCAGTGAAAGGTGTCTGTAGCATATAATGGCAAGATCCTGGAGAGGTATTCGGTTTAGCATATAACAACTGAATATTGATTGAAAAAGTCCAATTTAAATACTGGGATACTGTGAATTGATGGGTCACTCTGAACCTGTCGTAGATGACCACCAGCTGGTGTTCTATTGTCTGGGCTGTGAATCATGGTGCAGTATAAGCTGATTGGGTAGCTGAGGTGTGAATGAGTGAGTTGGGTTGAGCACCCTTTACAATATTCTAGCTAATCACATTGTGTCAGCTTTTTGTGGGAGCAAAATCCGAAGTGATCCAGGTTGTAAATGTTTACAATTGAACACTGGACATGCTGGAGGAGGACTGTTACTGCATCTGTGTGGTGCTTGACATCACTGACATATGTATGTCAGTCCAGTGTACAGACATCTTGAGTATTTGTTCGTATT